AATAGAATGCTTTTTTGGAAAAAGCCATCTCTTCGAACGCGTCTGGACGCGTTTTGAAAAAGAAACGCGTTTATGCCGTCAGATGTTTCATCGTCTCTTCGGACGTGTGTGGACGCGTTTTGAGAAAGAAACGCGGTTGAACGCATCCCAAACGCGTTTACACTCAAAAAACTTTCACATGGGACCCTCACCCTACTCTCTCTGAAGGGTTCTTAGTTTTCTCATGAAACTTTACAAAGGTTTCCAATTCGCTGCAAACTGTAAAGTCCACTCAACGTTTTGTTTGATTTAATAGGCGTTTGGTGTAGTCTTTGTTTTCAACAGAATCTGTTCGTTAAGTACAAGAAATTATTTCTGGTTTTATTTAGCACCTTTTTTGTTTTCGGCACATATTTTTGGACTAGTCTTTTGCCTTAAACAAATAATATTATCCATTTTTATTCTCATATAAATACCCAGGTGCACCAATCCGACAACGGATCCGAGTTTAGAATTGGCGTAGCTGGGTGGGTACCGACCACTATCAATACTATTGGCATTGGAAGTATTGGTATTGTTGCACCCCTAATTGAAAGTTTATTTATGAATTTAAGATATTTATGCTGAATAACTAAAGTAAAACGATCATTACATGCAAGTACTCCGAAATATACTGTGGGTGGGTGTGGATGATGTTTTCAGTAGTTTCTTCGCCCTCATCCACAACCTCAATCCGCTTTCACCCTTTGTTTAACAGGAAATGTTTTTTGCAGTGTCTGTTCTTTGATCATGTTGGAGAGAGACAGAGGCAATAAGAAATAAAGTAGACAAATGTTTGGGTTCTCTCTATTGTCAATTCAGAACGTATCGTAGTCAAAAAATAGTTGAATATCATCACACCAGCTGCTTTCCACCATGTTTCTAACGGTAGATGAACTAAACTTAACCAAAACTTTAAGTTCTTCCATTTGTTTAGTCAGTATTATTGTGACTTTACTTTGTGTTGAATCTAGAAGAAAACATATCAGACTGAGGTTCCCTATATTTATACCTACTTAAGATATGTTCATCGAGAACTACGCTCTTATTAGTCGTTCCAGTCAGTTGAATAATTACTCCTTTTGTCATACGAGCAGATAAAATAGCTCGAAAATTTTTGAGAAACGTCGCCATCCATAAAGATGTAAGATTATAATTGTCTGAGACATCGTGCTTTCAATCATATTAGAATATGAAGAAAAGTAGCAATCTTTTTGACCAGTATTGAATGATATAGCAGTAATGTTACCTTTATGAAGTTGCCAATGATTTAGAAAAGAAATATTGCAATCGGCATGTCCATTTTTGATCCAGCTCGAATCACGACCGAGTGTTCCATCAGGTAATTGAGAATCTCGAATTGATAATGCACTTCGTAATTGGCTAACTGTGATTGATGTGTTGGTAAAATCAGCTTTACGTAAATTAGCAAAAGAGAAATTGATGTCGGTTAAATCAGCATTTTTGAAAGAGGCACCCTGCGCGTTTGCGTACGAAAAAATCGACATCGATAAATTAGCATAATCAAAATTGACCATTTCACAATTACTTTGTGAAAAATTAATCCCAACCATCAATGCGTAGTGAAAACTAACTAAATCTTAAGTTAAAATTATAAGATGGAATGATATAAATAAAGTTTACTCATAATCTTACCAAGACGACTAGATGCAAAACTAATATTATTGAGTAGTTTAGAAGATGAAAAGTTTACAGTGCGCAATTGTTCAACAGATGAAAAGTCAACATAAAGCATCGTGGATTGAAAAAAGTTGACATTTTTAAGTCTGGCTTGTGAAAAATCGATGTATGCAAGTTCACAGTCTAAGAAATCCGTTTTGGATAAATCAGCAGATGAGAAGTCAATGTCATGGAGAGCACAATGTGAAAAATCGATTTTCACCAGAGTAGACTCTGAAAAATCAGTATTTCTGACACCGGCATAGGAAAAATCGGTTTTCTTGATTTCTGCATATGAAAAATCAATATTCTCGAGCTCAGAGAATGTAAAATCACTTTTCAAAATCTCCGTATATAAAAAGTCAGTACTGCGAAGAAAAGCTCCATGAAATTCGATATTCTCTAGCTCAGCATCTGAAAAATCGACATCGTCGAAAACTGTCTTTAAAAACAAAATGTCTTTAAGGTCAGCTTCTGAAAAATTAACACGAGATAATTCAGCATACGAGAAATTGACTTCATCCAGTTCGGAGTTCTGAAACCAAACCAAATTAAGTTTAGCTGACAGAAATGAAGTCACCTCAATCGCAGTGCTCATAAAATCTACCCTCATAAAATTGGAATTTGCAAAATAAACATCGTTCAACGTAAAGTCAGCACTTTCTATTGTCATGTCGTGGAATGTACAATCAATAAAAAAGACACCAGTCAATATCATATATTCGATCTCAGGCGAAATAGTCAAACTACCAAATTCTAGATTGACCAGTAATGCTGTTGAGATGTCTAAAGGAGGACATTCATTCTTATGAAATAATTGACCAGATTCAAAAAGAAAACGAATAACATGCATATTATGCGAACCATCAAGCTGTCGAATGGCATTGAGTGTTTTAGCTCGTGCTAGTATTTTTACAGTTGGATTGCATGTCAGTGAACCGTTATTTCTTTCGAATAATTCACCCATGTTTCTCATATAAGTGGAAAGTATTTCGTCTTTATAACGATCATTACTCATATTTCTATCAATTTCATATTGCATAGCTAAAACATGTAGTTCTTGAACACGCTGTAGATGAGACTCGTTTCGATCTTCCAATCGTTGGTTACGGGCTATTTCATGATCTTCTCTACGTTGTTTCATGGATATATTTTGTTGATGTAAAGTAATAACAACGGTGAATATTCCTAACATCAACGGCAAAATTAAAGAAGAAATAAATTGTAAAATATTTTGAATTGTTAAACTACAAAATTTGTTGTTTTGAGAATGAGTCTGTTCTGTTTGTGTAGCATTTTCTTGAGAAATCATTGTAACTGATGAATGCTATAAAAAATTTAAAAGATTACTTAAATTAAATCATAATGTTAAATGTAATTATATGAAACGTAGTCTTTTTAACTCATAACTACATGACATTTGATCTTATTTGAACAGATGCGATTCAAGAATAAACGACGTATATTGTACTTACGATATTTTGTGTTTTAACAATCCACGATATATTTTCAGTCAATTTCTCTAAGAAAAATAAAAAACTCGGTCGAAAAAATGTTAATTTACACCAGAATTTAAACGAAATATTTTAAAGTAAAAACTATTCAATTTTCGACACGAAATATTTAAAAAGAGATATCTAGAATTTATTACAAAAAAAGAATTATTACTTGACAATAGAAATGAATATTCATTACTAATATTTTAGTTATATTTTTATCAAAAATTTATTTAATATAATGTCATAATATATATCAATGAAATATTTGATGTTTCTGTCAAAATTGAATGACACAAATAATTAAATTGCTTATCGTATTCACATTTATTATTATAAAAAAAAATGATAAAATTTGTTGTTTGTTTCTAGTAACCTTTGTTAGTATACATAAACATTTAGAAGTGTTTTACAATATAATAAATCTTCAAAACAATCTGTCATTCAGTTACAATGTAAGAAACATCAACGATGATTCAAAAAATTCAAACGATAGATCACACACTATAGCAGGTTTTTATTGATCAAAATCGAATCATATAATGATAATCTATTTTCAATCGTATAGAATTTCAATTTTTACATTCAAATCTTTTATATTATAACATACAAATAATCTATTGCTACATAGATGTCAAATGAAAACACATTGAAAGGTCCCATTTCTTGACCAATCATGATAAATTTGAGTATAAAATGATTTTTTAAATAATTATATTCGTTTATTATACTATTGATAAAATTCTACGATTATGATAGTCAATGCTCAGATTTTTCTACTAATCAAAGAGAATTCTTTATTGGTTAAAATCATACTGACTTCATTTGTTATCATGGTAATGGTATTCTTCTTTGTTTTGTCGAGTATAGATGTCGAGAGAGTATAGATGTGTGAGAAATGTTTTGACGGGAGTAACAGATGACGAAAAAGACGGATTGAATTATAAAACGAAGAAAAAAAATGAAGTTTTAGATAATTTACAGAGTTGAACATTATCTGAAAATAACTAGTAACGCTCGTCGAGGCAGACTCGCTATACCCTCGACTGAACCACTGACTGAAAATAAAATAGTCTTACATGCATTTTATGCAAAAAAAGATAGAAATATAACCTTTGAAGGGGTCCCCAGAAACTGATCTTCATTCGCCTCACAGTCTTCAAAAGAACCAAAAGACTACTTGTGTTCCTTTTAATTATTCGATATTCCTGACTGAAA